ACATCGCGCTCTAACCATTGAGTCATCTAGCTAACATGCATACTCTAGCCCCATCTCCTCAAATGAGGGTGAAATATCTGGAGGCTTATTGTTAGTTTTGGCGGATTGATCAACGGTCATGTGACCATAAACCAACCTATTCTAGCCGGTTTTCTTAGGCTACATTGTCGGATGGGAAAAAATAGGATTGCTACTCCGAACTGACAACATGTCATCCACCGGATATGGAAGTAAGGCTGCGGTTGTACGTCAATTATCAGAGTTAACTTAGCTAGTCCAACTGAATCGATCATTTGGACCATCAAACCAAACGAGTTATTCCTCTCCCAGTCTGTTGTTTCCAACGGCTGAACAAACTGCTTTTGCGAACGTTACATCACCTCACGGTGGTTATGATGTCGGTTGGACTTTCTTCATCCCCCCAGCAAACAAACCATGAGAAAGTTTCTTGACCAGAAACAGCGACGGACTCTCTGACACATAGCTCTCACACACGGGTGAACTTTGAGTCCCTCATCTATTTAATTTGCTACGTTATTTGTCCATTTTTATTTTGAAGACAAGGCGCTGGAACTTGTGACGTAGCGTTGTAGAATTCTAAAGCAACCCACGACACGAGTTACAGGACCCTCAAACATGAACATAGATCGAGAGTGCTCAAAGTGGAATCCGAAAAGGCTCTACTGGTTCGAGCTTGACACACTACTTCAATAAGATTGGTTACTCACAAGTAGTCATCTTATATTTTCAAATCGCACCTGCAATTGCAGATTGGCAAGCGAGCAGTTGTATCCGAAAGGCGTCATTCAGCCTGTTTACTGGCTTCTATTTGCCAGATATCGGTCCGAGTTTGGGAGAAACAAAACAAATTTGCTTTCTATCTCACCCCAACTTTGCATACAGCAGTAACTGATGGACCATCTGCCTGCCTATATTGACTCTGTTTTGCCTAACTCACGTAGTTGGACGGTTTATTCATCCACAACTGCTCCCCCCACCGCCCCTACGGCTTGCGTAAAATTATATGGGACAAAAAATTTGGGCGCACTGGTGTGCATACCTAATGAGTAAGGTACTCTCAGAGGAAACGAATGCCTGAAAAATTCCCTCCCGACTCCACCCGTCTGTCACACGCGGATTTCACGCCACGTTCCTCTGTGGTCTGAGAAACCGCTGGGTGTATACTCTCGGGCAGCGGAATAATCTGCGCCACTAGCCCCTCTATAGGAAATGATACCTAATTAAATCTGTCTGCTGTGTTTGCACGTGGAAAGAAGGCCCGGAGAAGATTTGGTGGCAGACTGAGTTGTGCATATCGGAGACTGGTCATTGCATTGGCATTAGTTCAATACAGTTCTGATGACGGACATCTTTGGAGGTGGTTGTCCTCTTACACGAACTAGGTTCTTACTTGTATGCTGGGTCATACCACTTTTACCTGCTGACGCGTTCCCAAAACGAGTAGGTCACAATAAATTATGAATAGTGTTACTCAGTCACTTGTTTTATTGTCCCTTCCTGGTATCTGTTCAGACAGGCATATCGTACATGTTTTTAATGCGAACCGTTAAATGAGAAGCCAAGGAGCATTTTACAGCTATTTTGCCCTTATTCGGAGTTATCGGCAGCGCGCATCCCGCGAAAATTCAGAAAGAAGTTTAGCACCCGTGAACTCCTGGGTGTTATTAATTTGAAATTTTAATTGTTTGGCCGGCTGATCGGCATTCTGATCAGCTCTAAGTTAGACAGGATGTGGCGCCACTCAGGGAAATCACATCAAGTGATCACATGTAAACTGACCGGCTGCTCGTGTAATGACATCACTCGGCTTCTTTTTTTTCAGGACGAAATCCTTATCTGTTGATCTGTTCTCCGAGCTTGGCAATCGATTTGCAAACGTTTCGTCACCATTTGGGGCGACATCTTCAGCGCACTGAAGAGCATCCCAAGTACTCAAATAGACATAACGATTCTCGGTTGGTAAAATCCAATTGGTTAGTTCTACAATGAGTTTGCTTGAAATTTCCCCCCAGAATTTCCGACAGCGAGGATTCACAGATGTCCCTCAGGTGAGAGCAAACTGGATTAAAAAATCTCCCGTCACAGTGGCAAACCGTAAAGTCAGCTTTCGTTGCCCCGAAGCTTTTTTGGGCACAGGCACTCCAGAGTTTCCAGTGGAACGGATACAAGATGTAGTTTCGTTAGTGCATTTCCTAAAATCTAGGACTATCACTCAAAAGATCACGTTACCCTCTCCTTCCATGGACAACAAGACTATTTCGCCTTGACTTTTAGGTCATGCCTTCACCAACAGTGACACTAATTTCCAAAATCGTTTAACCACTGTCAGTAAAATGATCTGAGTATCCTTCTCTGAACGCCTGAAGTACTTTATTATCCGGGTGATTACTTTGTCACAAACTCAAGTTTCCAACTTTCCGCATGAGGGTATTTGCAAGAAGGGGTCAAAAAAGCAAACCGTGTAAAGTGGGTAGGCATTTCTGAATTGGACACTGGAATTAAGAGTGGCCGTTTACTGCAACTGATAGCGTGACGAAGCTACGTAGATTGGCCTAAAGAGCGAGCTGTGGATTACTGTTTCAACACATCGTAGAACTGCATATCCAGGCGCCACTTGTTCGTTTTGGTTTATGCATAATACATTCTTTTCAGAACAAAAGAAGTTTCCTCTTCTCATGGGTTAGAATGTAATCTGGCCACCTGTGACACTCTACACTGTCAGTCAACTTGGCAAGGTACTGTCTGAGCCCAGAAGACACGCCTACAAAACTGCTGATGCATACGAGTTTTGTGGTTGTGAATGACTGACTGACTGACTGACTAGTTAAGAAAGTCCCCTCGTTATAGTCTCCTTTACCGTGAGTGCTGTCTTTTTGCAACGGTAAGGATGAGCGCGTGGCTGCAACTTAGTGAGTAGGGACTGCCACGTGATAAGCACTCCCCAGGGAATAGGATCGTGTAAATTCCTCAGACGATTGCAAAACAGCTACCAGCCGTCAGTATTTACCTCAGTAAATTCTTTTATGACACAGTAGAATGTACCATTTTTAAACAAAATCGGATAAAGACAAAAGTTTTCCAATCACAAAGGTGACAGAACCCCAAACGCAGTCCACCCGAGACCAAATTCAGCCAGCAAATGTGAAATCTTTCTTGGTGAACCGTTTTGTGGTACTCTTATGTGTCCTTCATCTTTTTGGTGCATATACATGATAAAATTGAAGAGCATGCAAGTTCAGGCCTCTACGGCAAGTTGAACGCTCTCTTTCGATCAGGACCTGATAAACAGTCGCTGGATTTAGTGCCGGGAAGTTCCTCTGGTTTAGTACAAAGGACTCATCCGTCCGAGGTTGATCGGGATCGAAGCCAGCTAGAGAACCAATTAGTAAAATCTCTTTCGACCAGAAGACTCACACAGTTCATAAATTTTTACACATATGCGATGCGAAACCATTCCGTTACATAAAGGAAACTGCTCACAAGGTTGCTGAAAACTCATCGACAGCCCACGACCGGTTTCGCCCTTCCACTTCGGGCTCATCAGGTAGGCGCAGTCCCCGAGTTTCCGTCAACCTTATGATCTACTTGAACCCGTTACATGTTACAACATAAGTCGGGAAGCCACTTGCCATATGTATGCCCTGTATTTAGCCAGCATAGAGTGATTGATATCACCTACACGTACAAAGTTCTATCATCTGACAAAGATTAAAAACTACAACCATAATAGGACCCTTCAAAAGTAAACGGGAAATCTTGCCATATTAAGGCACGGACGGCGTTCTAGGAATTATTAGAGTTTGTGGTAGGCTAACGCTAGGACTCTTCTCCATCCTCCCTCTACCCTCATTGGAAAATGATGGCTTGTTCCGACACATGGGTGTGGCTGTGTGGTAGCGAACTCCTGATGCTTCAGCGCCTTTCACTGATAACGGTAATCCTTCGCTTAGTATGCAAGCTTCTTTGCTGGATCGATCTTTTGCGCAATATCCCAAGTCAATTTGAGCTAAAACAGTGGTTTAGCAAATTCGTCTCACCTGTTTGGAAGAATGAAACGTTGGCCATTTCATAGATCTGCTTATGACATTCATGTGTGGGCTCCAAAAAGGTAGACAAGAATCTTAATTAACTACCGGCACTGGGCCGATCCTGACAGAGAATAGACTCAGTTTGCTGCACCTTGTTTCTGTAGGATGTTCCCCTACCGGGGAAACCACCCCACTGTTGACTTCCCAGATGACGCAACACTTTTTGGATATAAGCGGTTAGTTGTCCGTTGCGGAGTAATTCAACCCCCTAAAAAGGGCTGAGAACATAGCCAGCCATGGGAAAAATGAGGAGAAACTCGCAGCTTCTAAGGGTGAAATTTCAATTCAATTCAATCTTCGTTGTATAATGGGGGCAACAAGTCACAAATCACTCGATATCTCATGAAACTTTCCGAACAGGAAAACACGAAAGACACCTGCGAAATGCAGTGAACGGTATCAAGGCGAAATCAGAATAAAGATATCAGTCATCATGTCGCTTCTGATTTGAGTGAGCATTGCCTTGAACAGGTTTAGCAAAAACTAACTGTTGATGTCAAGAATGACTTCAGGTGTATCTTTTCTGTACCACCGTGTGGTCAAAGTATGCTGACAAAGCTGTTCCTGGAGAGATGAATAAAACTAGCGAAGTACACTCATTTGCGAATAAATTTGGTTTTGCGAGAGACTCAATTGGGACCTAACTGAATCTCTCGTTTGTGATGTTTCCAGGCAACTGAACCTTATTTTCAAGTAAGACATAAGGTTGACTGAAACTCGAAGAAGGTCCCTATCTGATGAACCCCAAGAAAGACGAAACCGGTCGTGGACTATCGAAGAGTTTTCAGCAACCTTACATGCATCACGATATCCCGAACATCGTAGCGACTGAATCATGAGGCGGCCTGGTGCAGCGCATTCTGTTACCTGGGAACATCACAAACGAGAGATTCAGCTGCGTTCCAGCAGAGTCTGTCGCAAGTCCAAATTAGCTTGCAAATGAGTGTATCTCGCTGATTTCGTGCAATTTGTTTTCAAGTAGAACATAAGGTTGACGGAAACTCGGAGACTGCGCTTACCTGATGGCCCCAAGAAGAACGAAACTGGTGGTGGGCTGTCGACGAATTCTCAGCAACCTTATGAGTAGTGCATTACGGATAAATAAGACCAGTTTTGCAGAATATACTACTGAAGCCCTGAACCTGGCACCACATAAAATAGAAGTGGTGGAGATATTTTATTGCTATTTTTTGCCAGGATGTATTCTGAAGTGACTGAGAGAGATCAGGTAAGTTCGGCTTTTATAAATACTTACCGGCGATTTTGGAACCACACCTGAACCACACGCATATCCAATCCGGTTTCGGCGCTTAACTGCTCACGAACATGACGGACCGGTTTAGGGCTTTCGTTGTAGGCCCTTTTCAAGGCTTCCAACTGTTTTGCAGTGATGGTAGTCCGAGGACGCTTGTTGGCACTGTCAAGTTCAGATTCTGATGGAGAGGAAAAGATGAGACAAATTCAACCGGAGATGCCGTCGTAAAGATTGTCCCGTATTGTGATAAACTATGTCAACCGAGTACTGATCACCTGTGATAATTCGACCAGTTAAAAAGTGACTGATCCGGAGGGATACCCAACATGCAGGTCAAGATATCATGACCCAAGATAGCGATTTCTTGGCGGAGGTTGACAAAGATACCCTTCAAATGCGGTAGTCAGGGCTGTGTGAACAAATTTTTATTTGATCCTGATAAGAATTTGATGAGGCTGACCACAAACTGTGAATAAAAAGCGTTTTGTGGAGGGCTGTCAAGTGCGCTCTACCTTGGGCAGTAGAGTGCAACATACCGGCGCATCCGGCAACACTACTCCGTCTTAAGAAGAAATATGGTTCAGTTGGACGTAGGCACCCGAATAAAATTTAGATTGAAAAGAATGTGACTGTATATCTTTGTAATGTACTACTCATAAGGTTGCTGAGTCAGCAACCTTATGAGTAGTACATTACAAAGATATACATGTATCGCGATATCTCGAATATCGTAACGACTGAAACGTGAGGCAGCCTGGTGCAGCACATTCAGTTGCCTGAGAACATCACAAACGATAGATTCAGCTGGGTTCCAGGTGAGTCTCTCGAAAAACCAAATTAGTTTGTAAATGAGTGAATATTCGCTAGGAATGTGACAGATTTCGACGAATACACCCACCTGTAACCCAGATGAATCTTTCGTTTCTGATGAACTTAGTCAACTGAATGTGCTGCACCAGGCTGACTCAAATTTCACTTGGTACGATACATACTATACATATATACGATATATTGCGATACATTTTATAGACGCAATACACTACTTATGCGGTTGCTGAGAAGAACATCATAAACGAGAGATTTAGCTGGCTTCCAGGTGAGCCTCCCATCAAAGCCAGATTCAAAATGCGAAATCTATCCAATTTGGTTCCAAGTAGAACATAAGGCTGGTGGAAAGTCGAGGACTGCACTCGCCTGATGAGCCAGAATTGGGAGGGCGGAACCGGTCATGGGTTGTCGTAGAGTTTGCAGCAACCCTATGAGAAGTGTATTAAGTCTATACAACTAACGTGACAGTTTCAACTACGATAGTTGTGATTCCTCCAAAATTCTAGACTGATTTGTTGAGCAGAATTGGCCTGTGAATATTTCAAGAAGAATTGTTCTCTCGTGCAAGGCTTCCCGGAAATGCCGTCAAGTCGGATAGATAGTTCAGCAGATGTGCGCCGTCTGGTGCAAAACATGTGTCTTTAGGCATCGGCAAGTAGCAATTGATGACTTTCATTTTTGTGCGTTCAACATCTTTTGGTTGATTTATTCTGTTGTGCTACAACTGGAGAAGGTAGCCTCGTAGTGGAGCTTTTGCTAAAATCATTCTACTTTCATGGCACGTGGTTCACACGGTATCAGCTGTTCTGAAGGTCACTGGTCTGAACCGGTAAAGGCTACCTGGTTGCACTCTAGATACTGAGCTAAATGAGGTTAGGATTGTAGCTCTAACTTTCAGCCACTTTTGTGAAAGTTGCACTGGGGTGGTTGTCGTCTTGGTTAACGTACTCTGGGCTTCTCTGGAAAGCAGTATCAACGTCGCCGAGGAAACTGAGCCCCTTTCCACTGGATTTTTTCTCCAGCTTAGATCCCTTATTGAGAAGAACGGTGTCAGGCCATAGTGCTTTCGAAAAAGTAGTGAGCTGTTCGCAGAATCATTCAAGTTTAAGCCCGGGTTTTCAATCGCCGGTCAGTCACGCTCCCCCAACTAACCGAGCACGTGTTAAAAGCCAGACGTGACATTCGGCTATCCACTTGCGCTGAAGTAAATCATACCCTTCACAGATATCATTTCTTCATGCCTGACTTAACCATCAGGCTGAGTATATAAAACCGTCCACATTTTCGATTAGAATCCAAAATTGGAAAGTACGCTGTTCTCTCCCCCTGATCAACTGGCTGATTGATGCTTACACCGTTTTCGTGAATCTTTCATTTGCCCTCAAGGTCATTCAATAAGTTGGTACCTGGCAGCGAGCGAATTCCTCCGGGCTTTGAACAGCTTGTGGGCTGATCACTGCATTCAAAATTTGCTACGAGGAATCAAGGGAAACATCTTGGGAACTGCGTCAATGACTTATGTAACCAATTTCCCCAGTAGGGCTAGTTTGTACCATTATTTTCTCTATGGTCTTCTCGTGGTTTCTACGATCACCTTTCTGTTATCGCCGTCTGTGTAGGTCGTTGTGGTCGGCGACGGACTGTCGTACCAGACCGGGTAAGAGTCAGTTTCCCTATGGTCATTTCTCTTTTGCGTATCCTTCATAGTTTTCAGCTATGACAAAAACGCCCAGCGACATGGTATTATTCCTGTTGGCTTACGGAACACCCAAACTGGTTGACATCATTTGAAGTGTGGAAATTTTCAGAGACAGTATTATATCCTTCATGAGCTAATGATGGGTTTACCGTTGATCGTGATTTGCGGCTGAAAGCTAATCTATCTGTTACTTGCTAATGGATCATTTAGGAGAAATTCAACTGTTTTATATCGACAAGCCTCTTAAATATGAGCAGATCGTGTCAGAATTCTTCCCTTACCATTGAGGTGCTTGATAGATCAGAAATTGCGTTGGTTGGGACATGTGTTGCGGCTGCCGAACCATCGTTTGCCGAAGGGAGTGCCGTTTTTCATGCCCAATTCAGAGTGGTGTGAACAGAGAGGTGGCCAACCCTTGACTTGGCAGAGGAGTATGAAGGAGATCACGAAACGCTTCGGTGCCGTCGGTGCTACTCGCCTTCCGGGATGGAGACCGCGTGATCCTCACTGTGCATGGTTGGAGACACCACAATATACGGCTGCTAACCGATGTCAGTGACGTTCTTGTTGTCAGTTTCTACCCAGATTGCCTGAGTGAATGTCTGGAGGTATAGGTACCTCGGAATGATTGTGGTAAGATAACACCAAGTCCCTTCTCCGTCCAACTCTATTCTTTTCTTTACAACAAGGCTTTCAAATAAATCATGGTTGTACGGCAGTGAAGCATCGGTGTTGAACACTGATGTCGATGATGATGATGAGGGTGCTCGATATGGAAATGACCTTGACAATATTCAGAACTGTGAAGGTGCAAATGGATCTTGTGTACATCTACTCCGAGTAGTCCGATTCATTTGGCTACCGTAGAATACGAAGCTGATCATCTAAAACCCCATCACTGGAAGGTTAGTCACAGCGAACTGTAACTCAACAAGTGAGATGATCTGTTGCGCCCTACTGATAGTTAGTAGAGAATTACTTGTTTTCAAAGGAATACCTTGTCGCTATTACTCTGCCTTTCTGCCTAGACTATTGGTCAATTGAATATGAGTATACTGTGACCCGTTGTTCATGACCTCCTGACCGACACTGTCCTTTTAGAAGACAAAATGAATTCTTTTGAAACTTAATCGGTTTACAGAAGACTTTATGAACCTTATGAATTCCACCAAACATTGCTAACTAAATGTCCAGTTCTCACAGCCTTCCTACAAACCCATCGATCGCACTAACTGTTCTGAATCTTAGCGGGTTTATAGAAGACTTTATGAACCTTATGAACCAACCACCAACCATTGCTAACTAAAGTCCAGCCTTCCTACAAACCCATCGATCGCACTTACCACGTGCTTTGGCTGTCTCGAAGTCGTACTTGCACATCAACTTTCGATCACGTAGCAAATAAAACTCATCCCCAGTGTTCAAAAGACGATCACAGATCACGCAGGCGAAACAGTCCATGTGATAGACATTATCTTGGGCAGTCCGGACGACCTCCGTTGGTGGAATACCTCTTTCACATCCGGCACATTTGGTTCCGAATCGACTGTAAACAAAAAGAAGCAAATGAGATTGAGTTGTGAGCACTCCTCATGAAATTTCAAAGAGATACACTGCTTCTCCATGACGAGTCATCTACTGCATGCTGTGCACGACAATCGCACTGCTGTGTTCCACGTCCCTCCTTACTAGAGCGGAATCATTATCAGTTTGGCAAATAGCTACCTGCTGGTCACACTTCGTAAAAAAACTTGTTTCCCATGGCTTCCGCTCTTTACTAGTTCAAAGTTTCAAGCTTAAATGGTAAGACTATATACATTCTGCCGTCAACCTGTTAACAAAATGCACTTTTACTTCCCTGAAAGATGGATGAACATGGAAACGCAACTTGCGTGGATGCTCCATCATCAAAAATATCTGGGTGTGTGGGCACATGATGGCGGGGTGCAATGGCTGGGTGTAATGCAAATTACAGATGAACGGCTCTTTTTCTGATTACTGGTCAGGTGAATCGCAGAATGCAATTTTCAGTTTTACCTGGTTTTGTCGCTGCACAGGGAGGACAATAGGATTCGGGGGTATGCTGTCCAACTTCACCCAACACTGATTTCGCTTGAGTTTTTATGTCTGGCGATATTGGCCTAATCAAGAAGACTAATTTTAGAGTTCTTCGTACGACGAGTTTGTTACGAAGGGTAGACTGTGCGGTGCAAGACAATCCTATGTTCGTTCAAAATACTTCATAAAAACCAAGCGTATTTCAGCTGAATCACCCCAACTTTATTCGAAGCTCTCCTGATGATAACACCCCGTTTAATATGGCAGTGCACATTTTTCACAAGGCTGCCCACCAGTACGAAACGACCGTATTTCGATAATGACAGAGTTTACTCTTGTGTGTACAGACTGCATTTGCGCCGGTATATTTACTGTGTTAATCCTCATCTCTTGGATGGCCAGATTTCCCTCGCGCTGCGCACAATCTGGTGTGCCGTACGAATAGTAAGCAAAGAAATGACAAAACCCGCAACCGTGTTCTGATCTAACGAAAATCCCGTTTTTTTCTGTTCGGTCATGCTATCGCTCTTGCGAAAGTACCTCTGAAGAACGAAGCCTAACTTACTGGGTGACAGACTACTCATAAGGTTGCTGAAACCCTTTGATAGAACATAGCCGGTTTCCTTCTTCTCAGAGCTTATCAGACGAGCACTCGAACCTAACGTCCATTAAATTCGCGAACGAAGCTCAGTTACACAACAGTTTTAGTCTCAGTTCAATCCTAAATGAACCTCTTGTTTATGTTAAGCTTAAAATAAATGTGCTGCTCAAAGGCAGTTTCATTTTTCCGTTGTCGTAATATTCCACGATATCTTAAATATCATGCCAGGTGATACATCACGCGGCCTTTGTGCAGCATACTTTGTTGAAGAATATCATAATCAAGAGATTCAACCGCGATTCAGGTTGAGTCTCCCGTTGAAACCGAATCGGTGTGCAAATGAGTGAGTCTCTCAAATACGCGGAGCGCTTTCAAAGAAGTTTTGGTAAACAAATCCGCCAGCCCGAACCCACATAGGAGGGTCACTGCTGCTCTCCAGTGTGGACTGTGGCCATCTGAAAATATCAATTCGGCTTTCTTATGGACACACCCTACTGCGACAAACTTCAGTAGTATACAAATTCTGCCGCACTGTGACTTGAGGTTAATAAAAGAAGCAAATGTGAGAGCATACATATTTTGCAAATCCCACAACCACAACTACTAAAGTTTCCTCGGTGGTGGCTTTCAATGGTTCGGAAAAATCGCGAAGATTCAAATAGTAAATTGCAAAAGAATTCATGTACAGCCAGAAATCCTACGCGACCAGCTGGACAGAGATGAACCATATTGTGTTTCAACTCAGTTGGATGACTGTCACTAGTGTGGCTATTGTGAATCGTGCAGCAAAATTTTCCGTATTCAAATCCGATAAGTAAATTCTGATTCAAAGACAGTTGTTGCCCCTTTTTCTGTCCATCAATCAGACGCGAATGAAGACCTACCCGTCCAAGGATATCTGTCTCACATACGAGGTGTGACAGCAAACACGTGTCTTCAGTGTTATCTTCAAACTAAATCAATCTCTCCCCGTTTGCCGGAGTCGTTTCGAATTCCCGAGACTGAATAGCCCGAGAGGTGATAACACATTGAAGGGGGGTTTTCTTCCCCTCAGTGGATTCTGTCAGACAATGGAATCTTCGACCTACTTGGGGAAACACAAAGCTTCGAATTTGGTGGTTAAAGAGGTATCTTTCCTGCCGGATGCGGAAGCCTCACGCACTTCGTTTTTTTCATTCCCTGAGTGCCATAATGGTACTTCCTGCGGTCTGTCAGCAGCTTTTACAGTTGAGACTAAATCAACCGAACACAAGAAAGCTATCTGAAGATGCGGAAGCCTCGCACATTCCAATGTTTCATTCCCTGAGTGTCATAAGAGTACTTCCTGCAGTCTGTCAGCAGCTTTCACAGTTGAGACCAAATCAACCGAACACAAGAAAGCTATCTGAATGAATCCAATGACTACTGAATAAAGAATATTCCACGCCTGAACATTCTATCTTCGTACATGTTAAAAGGTTGTTAGGGTGTAACCTCGCCGACGGTCAAAAGAGCTACGAGCTCGCTAGCTCGTCGCCTCTGTAATAAGCCAGATAAAAACAGGTTGTCTGTGGACGGTTGAACAGTTCATCCTGGTTAGTTCACACCAAAGGGGAGAAACACCGAACCCGAGTTTTGCTCTGTTCAATTCAGAACTATTGTCCAACTGAAACATGAGGCGGCTTGTGTGCAGCCCATTTAGTTGTAGAATATCATAAACGAGAGATTCAGCTGACTTGTGAAAACCAAATTGATTTGCAAATGAGTGTATTTCCCGATATTGTCCAGTAGTTTTAAAATGTCGAGAAAGTCATGACAGCTGGATTAGTCAGGATCAACTCAACGAGGACGGTTACTGGGTCGGTGTTCGGGTCATCGCTCAGGAGTGATCATATTCGCATGTTCAGACTGATATTTTCGGATGCCTCTAGCGTGCGCAAACGGAGTACTGGTAACACACTCGCCTCTCATGTCAGACTCCGACAAGGCCAAGGGTATGTACTACTTCTGTGCACTAATAAGACCGGAACTCATATGGGCATGAACCCACCAGAATAACTGCGGCAGAACACGAGGAGGGCTGGTGAAACGAGAGTTATTTGAAGACGAATCCCGCAACCACTGACAGACAAACCAAAAATGAAATAAGCAAATTACTGCATGAGTATCCACCACATGTACAGCGAACTTATGGAAATAGAACCACCATGGTTATTGCCCTCAGAGACTGAAACACTGTGAAAATGAATCTGCCCACAGCTTAGTGAACTGCGTCCGTAGCAGGCCGTGTCATTCCTACTAGGTCTACTGGTCACAGAACAAGTAGTGAGAAAAGAGACGTAAACGAAAATACCATGGACCACATCTCTATTCGGGCACAGTGAAAGTCAAAAAGCTCACCGAAAAAAGTCGTTCTTACAATAGATCTCGTCCAATCGCATAAAGCACTTATCCGACAGAGATGCCCCACAGTCCATGCATTTGAGACAGTTGGTATGCCAGTGTTGATTCAACACCCGCATTACCGTCCGGTCCAAAACGAGCTGCTTGCAACCGGCACACTGTGGAACTGTGGGGCAGAGGAATGAAAAGACGACAAATTAAGGCGAAACCAAAGTACAACATGAGAAGTTCTCCCAAGGAAAGATATCACCCTCGTTGGCGGATTACAAACTTTGTGATAAAAAACTGACTGGAAGAGTGAATACAGTTGTGAGACGAGTGAGCAATAATCTGTCGCAGATATGTCTTTCACTGGATGAATTACAACCCTACATTTTGGTGGCGTGCAGCCCCATAAACCCTAAAAATGGTCCTACACGATGGATTCCTGGATCTTTTCCAGATAAGCCCCGTCAAAAAATTAACCCCGCCACCCAAAAAAATATTAGAAAAAATAGGATATAAAATTTTTCCTTTTATTGAAGAGGGCGAAATTGAGATATGTCATTAGTAATCTGCACGCAAAGGTCCGTTTTTCGGTACTCTTGCCTCTAAACGAACTTACACAAGTAGTTGTCTACTAAAGATCGATGTGTGCCGCATTGGCGTTTATTCTGCATCTTGTAGACGTGCCAAAGAGATTCGATGGATAATGTGTGAGCTTCAGTTGTTTTCGGTGTGATTAACCGTTTCATGAGTATAATTCATGTCAATCATCGTTTCAATTCCTTCGTATGATGCCCACATATCGGAGATGATGATTGAGCTGAGGGCGATGCAGACCTGGATTGTGTCCATCAAAGTGGCCGCAGTTCGATCTGGCGCTGCATACATGAAAACCCGTTTAGTTTCCCGACAGATCCCTCCGAGAATCTACTGCTGTGGAAGGACTCACCCAACGTGGTTTTTACGGCGAGATATTATCGTTTCAGCGATCTCGACGTATAGACCTGGGCCGCTGACAACTGGTAGAGTCTGCAAAAGCCGCCAGCCGCAAACTTCGCGAAGCAAGTTCTTTCAGTCAACAGCGGTCGTGTGGCTAATGATTAATTCCTCTGAACAGAATTTGATTTTTGCCAAATTTTTGGACCAGCAATAAACCAATAGGATTACTGTCCTTAAATCCATCCTAGGCCGCTCCAGTCAAGTTATCTTTCGAAGAACAATTTTTGACGACAGTGTCGGGCAGTACACCATCTGTCAGAAACGGTTGAAAGTGTCATTTGGTGGTCGTTGTTACATATACGTTGCTGATGGATCACTCCATGGCTTCGCAAAATCGTATTGCCGTCTCATTACCATGAACGAGAGTTGAAAGTGCCAGAAAGTTCATTTGAGGTTTTACGTCCAAACGGATATTTTTGAACAAAATGAGCCTGGATTCGGATAAGGAATTGTTTTTATCAAAAACAGGTCAAGGTTGTGTGCGTACACTAAACTGGAGCTGGCAAAAAGTGGCGGGGCTTTTCTCACCATACGCTTTTTTTGCATCAGGGGGGGGGGGTATTTGGAAAAGATCCGAATTCCTGAACGGGCTTTGAAATCATTGCCGTTTTTGCAGTCCCGAAAATCTGATGCAGGCATCCCCGTGGAGAACTTTCGATTCCAAGAAGAAGTTGCACTGTTCTGTTTATCTCCAGTTCGCATCCCTGGTCATCTCACTGAACTAAACAACCAGAGTAAAAAGTGCTCTGTGACTGAGGAAGAAAGCATGAACCACATTATTTCAACCAACACGTCTCAACACAAACCCCTTGTAAATTGTTTTGTGAAGCATCTTAGCCCTTTTTAGTTTATCTCAGGTTGGGTTTACGAAATTTGAGGTTAGAGCTGATTTCCTTAAGGGAAGATCATTCCTGTGTGATGCCACTGTTCACCTGAATGTGCTGCAAAGGGACCACCGCCTGATGCATTAGGGTCAGTATTCAAACAGTTAGGTCTATTTCACGTCACGGACTTGTAAAGTGGATCAATACTGATGGACAATCAACCGCTGGCTCCACTCCTGTTGGGTTTGTCAGGTAAGTGTCACCTCCTATTTTCTTATGTCGTGAGTGAAATTCGAAGTAGATACACGTAGACTTTATGGTCTGTTTGCACGTTAAAGTCAGGTGTGAGACGTAACCTAAACCATTTTCTCGTTTATGAAAATGGCCAGTCAAATAGGTAACATCTTCTCAGGGTCAACATTCGAGATTTCAGAGTATTTTTCCACGCCTCGATACTACTTGTGAAGGGAAGAAGTCCTTCGTTGCGGAGTTATTTACCAGAAAACACCGAATGAACAGTTGCAGACTATTGGGCAGGGAAGCAAAACTCTCATATACATCTTGTTTACAGAAACTAAATATCCATCTTCTCCTTGAACGCGCCTTCCTGAACTTTCCTGTATATTCATTGACTGTTGCTGAAGTGCAAGCAAATGCGACTCCACAAATTTCGTAATAGATCTCACTTTTCAAAAGACACGAAGCGGATTTACGAGAAAACATACCACTCGCGTGCCCCCATCAGTAGTATTCACCGTTACACTTGTACCGGCCGCTCATATAATTTGGTACCATATCGAAAAGGGTTATTCATTTTTTCAGTTTTGCTCGAGGTTATTAAGCTGGAGAAGTTGACATTAACCCTGTGTTTTCATAGATTTGGGGTGCCGTTTACAATGTGGTTACATGCGTATAAGTTTATCAGGTTTCAACCAATGGCTCACTACTTCCGCGATCCTGTCCCTAAACAGGCTTGTCACAGAAAGTTCGAGTTCTCAAAATCTATCTATCTGATCACATGGTTTACCTCAAAGGAGATTCATATGGGCTTCACCTTTTAAATCCTCCCTAATTCGTATGATTCTTACTAAGATTGCACCTGGAAGATGACTGTATTGATCTCTAGTGAATTTCTATAACTCAAAAAGGAACTGGACTCTGTACGAAGTTTTATGCAAGTACCTTCATGGTTGCTGCCTTTCAAGCCTGAGTTGATCTCACACACTCCGTGATGATTCTCAGTGCCATGGCTGGAACGCAGACTGTTGCAGTCGGTTGTATGTTACTACAAGTGTAACGGTGAATACTACTGATAAAGCAGGTGAGCAGTATGTGGTTTTATCGTAAATCCGATTCGCGTCTCTTGGAAAGTGAGATCTTTTACGGAATTCGTGGATATGCTTTGTAGCATTTGCTTGCATTTGGGTAACAGTCAATGAATATCCAGGAAAGTTCAGGATGATGCGTTTGAGGACAAGACGGCTATTGAGTTCTTATAAACAAAATGCTTCCCTGTCTATGGTCTGCAACTGTTCAGTTGATGTTTTCTAGTAAATAACTCCGTAGCGAAGGCCTTCTTCCCTTCACTAGTAGTGAACAACCAACATTCGGCCATTTGGTCAATGAAAACTCCTTCGCTAACGTCTATTTGCTCTTTAAACTTTCAAGTAGAAGAGTGGAAGCGACTTTTTTCCAGACGTACTCGTTTGACTCACTATGATTGAGATGAGAGTTGGTATTGGCGCCTAACGGAGAAAAATTAAATTCACCTGGCTTGTGTTTCTTGCAATTTCATGCCTGATTTTTCCAGAAACCATATCAACGGCAACACAACTTTTTCGGATGTAATCACAGTTCGGCATGACAATACAGGTCGGGGGGCGCCGCTCGGGATGTTCACCTAATGGCCTCCCGTCATGGCTTCAGTAAGCCGAGAGCATCTAAACCGTTTGCATAGGTAACTGAACAGCGATGTGGCCTATCGTCTAACCAGCCACTAAGTGGTTTAGACAGTCATCTGACTCCTGTTTATTTGCGGAACTTTTCACCTGCTTAGGTATCGACTCTTTCAGAGGGGCTGATAGCAACCAACCCATGGGCTAGGATCCGTACTGAACGTTTAGAATCGGCCAACAAATCGTACAGAGTTTGCAGCCTTAAACTGTTAAGCAAAGGGTCACGTGTCCGACTCATCACTGCCCACCTGACTGACCTGACTTTATCTAAAAAGATTTTGGCCCATTACCCTGAGTGCTTTAAGTGAACAGAGAAGTTTTCACGTGAACATGGCGAAACCTTTGCCATCCAAACCCAGGTCCTGGCGAAGTTGTCACCATAAGCAGACCAACCAACACAACAGCTTGAAAACTTTGTGATTGATCATAGAAGGCAGGTGACCGCAGCTAGGCCCATGAAACCCCCTGGCAATTGGTCTATTCCTGTATTGTTGTCTAGCTGCTGATGGACCTAGCAACCAAGTCGTACTGGGAATGCGGGTGTCGGAAAACCATTGAACAGACATTCGTTGACTAGTTCCATGTGCTGAGTCGCGCTGTCATTCTGGACGATGTCACCAAGCCCACAAATATCCCAATTGCTGTCGCATCCATACCCATTAACTGTCTGTCATGGAGAGGGGTGTTTCACACCTGGGACTCAACCTGTACACTCCCCACTCAGGTGCTCAAACTTGCTCAATAAATGATCTCGAACACCAGTAACAGCGGCATACACGTAGCAGGTTGGTGAGTGTCCGACCTTAATTACCCGTTGTGGTGTGTGCAAAACAATAGGTTCAAAGTACTTTGGACACCATTTTGATCAGTACGACTGACGGAACGGACAGAAATGTTTGGAGTACAATGGGAACCGTAGTACACTACCCGCTTTTCCCTGTATCGACGGAAGTAATCATAAACATCAACCGAGCTTTGGGTCAAGTTTTTTTGTATTTTCTTTTTTTCTTTATCGAGACGCGGAATTTAGTTTGTCGCATTCCAAAGATATTTTGCCATGCTAGTATTTGAATGTGTCGTGCTGCCAATCAGTGCCGTTTCAGGTGATCTTTGTTGCGTGCAACTCTGAGGTGTACCCCTGTCAAAAGACTGATGTAACCTTAAGATGCACAGGATAGTTCTCTACGAAAATCACTTGTGTTCTTCTCATGAAGGATAAATGCGGACGGAAGGGACCGAGCACTTGGGAAAACAGAGTGGATTGGAAGTCACTTGTTGTTGGTTGTTTCAGAAAAGAACACAACAGCAAGACTAGGGTAACCCTCCATGCAGACTCTCGGATATGGAAACTATCTATAGTAACTGTGAAAATTTACTAGTGATTGAACATTCTACAACAAAGCATCTTTTCGTTTTGCACTGATAGCTCACCACGGTGGCACAACTGGAACCTACCCAGAAGGCTGCAATGCGGAAGAACTTCCGAATTACGCCTATCTCAGATGCTCCTCCACCGTCCATTAGCGAAGTCGTACAAATTCGGCTAGGTTCCATGCGAGTCTCCCGTCCAAATCGGTATGCAAATGGGTGTATTCTGCTTGGGTCGAGGTCACCTGAATGAGTCTTTTCCTGAGTGATACGAGCAGAAGTCAAGCAGAAGAGTGTTGAACAATTTCAGGGGAACAAGGGACAGTTGCTCGTGACAGATGAGGTCATCAACTCGTCGAACAACATGAAGAAACTTGAACAAATGTGTCAGTCTTAGTTTTACCAGTGACAAAAAGTACATACTCAATCACACCAGGGCCGAGGCGCAAAATGTCTGCCACATATATCCACTTCCCTATGTTCTAGGTCAAACAGAACGTGTAGTAAATGTAATCTAACAGTTCCCGG